TAGCATTGTAAGGACACTCCCATTTACGATTAGGCTTTTATCATTATCCAATTTTGCAAGACCTTTGAAAATATATTCAGTCAAGCTGGTTCTGGAATTTCAGTATTATATGGTAAAACAGTATATTGCAAAAGATCTACAATGTTTGTTCCACGTATATTCTGTCCTTTGTATACAATTTCCCCTTGAAGATTCCATGTGAGAATATCCGTGGATGTGAGAATGGAGTGAAGAAGTTCTTCCGCAATGTGTTTATCAACATTATCGTTTAAGTGTCCAAGTATATCTTCAACACGCCAATGTCTCGGAGATGATCTTTCCTTGCTGTCCATGGTTGGAATGACAGTGTGAATGAATGATGGTTATTTTATACTAATTCTGCAAGGCCCTCTAAAAGTGGCGCAAGTACTAATCCTAGAAAACCATTCCCGCGCTGAACAAGAATTTTCATTTTCTTTATTAAACTCTTACTTCTGTCCGCTAAATCAGCGAGATTGTCTTTAAATGGTCCAAGTTTTTTCAATGTTCCTTTAGGATATGTAAAGTTTTCCAAGCAATTACATAGAAAGCGAATCTGTTCATGAGATGCAGAATTCAACAGAGCTTGCTGTTGAATTGGATGAGAAGTACACAAGAGCTCCACAAACGGTCTGTGTTTGATATAACTGCTTGTCATCTCTGTTCGGCGTTCAGCAACGGAATGACGATTTAGTTGAGAATGACGCATATATAAGGCTTACCCTCTACAGACTAGGTCTAGACTATAGTCTTAATGTTGTTTTTTTACTATAGTCTTCGTAGTTAGGATTATAGTCTTTCATAGTCTTTACTATAGTCTCTATAGTCTTTACTATAGTCTTTATAGGCTTTACTATAGTCTTTCATAGTCTTTAATGTAGTCTTCATAGTCAGGACTATAGTCTTTCATAGTCAGTACTATAGTCTTTATAGGCTTTACTATAGTCTTTATAGGCTTTACTATAGTCTTTATAGTCTTTACTATAGTCTTCATAGTCAGGACTATAGTCTTTCATAGTTAGGACTATAGTCTTTCATAGTTAGGACTATAGTCTTTCATAGTCATGACTATAGTCTTCATAGTCATGACCATAGTCTTTCATAGTCTTTACTACAGTCTTTATAGTCTTTACTATAGTCAGGACTAAAGTCTTTCATAGTCTTTAATGTAGTCTTCACAGTCAGGACTATAGTCTTTCATAGTCAGGACTATGGTCTTTCATAGTCTTTACTATAGTCTAGTCTTTATATAATCTTTACTATGGTCTTCATAGCCAAGACTATAGTATTTCATAGTCTTTAATGTAGTCTTCATAGTCAGGACTATATAATCTTTGATAGTCTTTACTATAGTCTTCATAGTCAGGACTATAGTCTTTATAGTCATGACTATGGTCTTCATAATCAATACTATAGTCTTTCATAGTCTTTACTGTAGTCTTAATGACTATAGCAAACGGGATAAATATACCTCTTCACCCTCGCTTTAAATCATTTCAATCTGACTCTTGCGAAGTAAACATGTCTTATGAATGCGACATCTGTGGTAAAACGTTTGCAAATGCGAGTAATCTCCTTCGCCACAAGAAGGTTGTTCATGCATATGTAAATCGTAATCTTGGGCAACAAACTCTTACGGTGAATGGAGTTACAGTTTTGGAACACCCATTTACTTGCCTTGTAGCTGGGTGTACACAAAGCTGCAAAACCGTATGGGTAAAATCTCTCTTGGGGAATGCTCACAAGACCATACGTCCTGCTCCTCGACGTATCATTTGGTGTTATGGTCAATGGCAACACTCCTATTTTGATATGATGCGGACGATGCCTGAAATCGAGTTCAATAAAGGCATTCCCGACGATATCGACAACGCAGATTACTTGGATTTATCGCAACGGAATTTGATCGTATTGGACGATCTCAAGCTACAATCTAGCAAGGATAAACGTATTGCTGATCTTTTTACGAAAGGAAGTCATCATCGAAATTTGTCTATCATTTATATTGTTCAAAATATGAATCCATTAAGGCAAAGAAATGAGAAATATCAGTCTAAACGCGCATTATATCATGCTGTTCAAGTCACCAAGAGATAAACAGCAAATTTCTATGCTTGCAAGGCAAATAAATCCCGGAAAAGTACAAGAATTTATGAGGAGTTATGAAGATGCCACGAGCCGCCCTCACGGGTGCTTAATGTTGGATTTAAAACCAACAACAAGTGATGAAGATCGACTTAACACGAATATACTTCCAGGCGAGATTGCAAGGTTTATACAAAAACAATCGTATCGTCAACCAACGCTTCTAAATGCCATGTAAGATGCCGAGCAGCGAATGAAAGCAATCATGGATCCACCACAACTTAGCGCTGTGGAAAAAAGCAAATTATATTCTGATCAACTAAACCGATTTCTCACATTCAAAAATAAGATGGATGTCCCGGCTCAAGCCCCTGTTCAAACATCACCGTTAATGCCTGCAGAGATACCACCACAAGTGCCACCTACGCCAGTACCAGCAAAAATACCACCACCAGTGCCTGCTACTCCTAAACCTAATTTTCTTACGCCACCATCAACAGAAGAGGAACGACCAAGACTGAAGCGCAACTTTTTCTAAAATTGGGTAGACTCTGCTGATTGGAGAGAAAGTGAATTGGCTATGATGAAACCGAAGGAAAGAGAGGATTATGAACGTTTTTTACTAAACGAAAGACCGAAATATATTCCAATGAAGCATGAAGATGTTGCAAGATTATCACCTGAGGATAGACAAGAATATGAGAACTCTTTAAAAATAACAAAAACACCTAGAAGTTACGCTCTTAGAAGTAGACCGTACTAAATTTTGTAAAACGTTTTGAAAAAATAAATGTATTTTAAGACTGAAATCTTGTGTAAGGTTTTGCCTGCAAAGCCCGCTCTTCCGCCCGCGCGATCCGCCCCCCCCTGATAAGTGTAAAAATATGTTGTACGTTAATATATGCATGCACCCAAGCGTCGTTAATGACTTAGCAACACATAACAACGTATATAACGACTACATGTTTCTATCGCAAAATATATTACAACTGTTCCAATTCTAACTTATATTCTTGATAAGCTTCCTTATATCTATGAGGTTTGCTAAATAATGCTGCAGCAAACAACTTTTCTTGATCTTAACACGACAAATAGGTCAAGATACATTGTAGTTCATGACTCTCAATTCGATAAAAGATTGTGCTTGGATCAAATGTTTTAAAATTTATCAAAAAATACGGACATATCTCAAGATGTTTCTATACCTAGCAGCAACGCATAGTAAGCCAATCTTCATTTGATGGCGTGGGACGCGAAAAATTGCTGAGGTCAGCGAAAGTATTGACTGCTCGCCTGAACACGTCCACGGCCGCCCGTAATAATATCCATATATATCCATTAGGATCCTATTGGTTATGCAAATTCGTATCGGCTTAATCCTCTTAATTACTTCAACCTTTGTGTTTTACGCGTGGGGATTACCTGACAACGCTGCCATCATAATATTTATATTTCTATCAATGAAACTATATGTTTTGAAAATACGCATGAAAAACCATCGTTTAAAGTAACACAAGCAGTGTGCTATATTATTCGCAATGGCAAATCACTGCACTCGCTATTAATAGTAAATCACATTCTGTGTAAAAAATGACTCCTCAAACCTCCATTCATAGTAAATCGACATTAATCCTTCTATATCAGAAACTAGTTGTGATCTTATTTGATCGCCTGCCACATTTGGCCCAGGCCTGCCCGCGTTAATTGGTCGCGCTACCTGTCACAGTTGGCCCAAGGTTAGGGTTAGGGCCAGCAAAGTGGCATCATAGTTTTGCAAGCTCATTATAAAATCCGTCAGATTATTAGCTGAGCAAAGTGGCGTCATAGATTTTTCAAGCTCATTATAAATTCCGCCAGAGTGTTAGCTAAACAAAGTGACGTCATAGATTTTTCAAGCTCATTATAAAATCCGCCAGAGTGGGGGGCTTTACTACTCTCGCTATTACGGAGTGACTCGCGCGCTATTACCGAATTGAACGGACACTTCATGTGGTGCCAAACAAACATTTTATTGTTCTACTGCCGTTACAACGGACACCATTATCCGTGAGTCAAAAATGAAGAAACAATTTTGGACACTCCTAAAGGAATATGCACCACGACTCGTCCGTTACTTTCTGTTACGGCCACAACATGTGGATTTTTGGCATTTTCCAGTTCACGTTGAAGCGCGAGAGTCTTGGCAATTTTGGGCATGAATTCGTCTTTGTACGCATTGTGGCCTGTCAACCAAGAATAGTATTCTTGAATAACTTGTATTCATCACACTTTCCTGACTTGCCATGGATTTGTTGTAATAGCGTCTGTAAGTGTTTCCGAGACCAGGTGACAAAGATACTGCAATATTATCCTCAATTTTAATCATGCAGTGACAGCGTTGGTATAACACTTCCGCAAAAAATCAGCACAACATGTTTCATGTGTTCACGGCTTTAACATGCCTAAAGACAAATCGAAGAAAACGAGGAATCAGTTGTCGTTAAAACAGAACCGGGCGAATTCCCGTTGTGGAGAAGTTAGGCTACGCGCTCCTGTGACTTATAACCCGCGTTCTCGTTTTACAACCTATACTTAAAAATGCCAAAATGATTTTAACGAGACCCTAGAAAAGATTCTTGTGGCTTACGCACCAAGGCGTCCCTGGACGAACCCCCCTTGTTAAAATTTTAGGACTACACCACATTGAATACCCTCTCCAACATTTCTTGCTATCTATAGCACTTAGGGTACGGTCAATGTCAACAGCGGTTGGACCATAATCCCTTCCCTTGGAAAATGTACACCATCCCAAATGTATTGATTTATTGTAATTCCTAAAGATGTTGCCATCGAGAAAATTTATTTATAATATTTTGTAATTCCTTGACAAATGTTATATGCATGTTTTGTTTAGAATCATGTATACCGCACGAGACAGGAATGATAATGCGATGAAGAAAAGCCATAACGTTTCTCATCCCAATTGGCATCGCGTACTACCCAAAGAAGATGCAAGACTGTCGCAGAATGCCCTCTCACCTGAGCAAAGAGAGTCTGCTTGGAACCAACTCCACAACTACTTATGCTCCTATAAAAATACATTTCTAGGTTTTCAGGTTAACCAAAGTTTTGATGCCGAAAGAATAAAACCATTTTTGGATATTCCACTCAACAATGATGGCGATCCGTTCTCAACATCATCACTAAACGCTTTGAACTCTAAAGTCATGGAATGTGCCGTTCTCGATTATTTTGCAGAACTATGGGGGATACAGCAATCTTTTCCTCTAAACGATGAACAACGCCAATATTGGGGTTATATTACGGCCATGGGCAGCAGCGAAGGCAATCTTCTCGCTTTCTTCAATGCAAGGGATTATTTAGCCGGCATGCCGCTAAACAACCTCATCCCGGAACTTGATAGCTGCAAAGCGATAGTTAAACGTAATGAAACTCAACCAAACTTAGGAAATAAAAGGCATTCTATGAGTAGTGGATCACAGAGTCGCCCCAAGAACTCATCTGTTCCATCTTACGATCATCGCAATGACGAGGTGCCTGACACACAACTAAAGGACAATCCTAACAACTTTACGCCAGTTGTGTTCTTTGCTGAAGGAAGCTATCACGGGTTTGAAAAGGCATTACGAGTGTTACAGATGAAAACATTCTGTGATATCGGCAGTGGAAATTTTCCTTGTCCGCTGAAATATCCAGATGACTACCCAAGCAATTTTAGTCACGAATCCCTTGATCAAAACGGTTGGCCACGTGCAGTGCCCGTAGAAGCAGATGGCTCGATTAGCGTTCCTTGTCTCGTGAAACTCGTCACCGCCTTCGTATCGAGAGGCTTTCCTCCGCTGGTAGTCTTTACATGTGGTACCACATTTAAAGGAGCTAGCGACAATCCACAAGCTGCCATCAGTGAACTTGTGCCACTTTTGAAACAACATAGTATGTATGAACGCCGTGTATATGAACACCCAACTAAATCCGATATTCGCAATGGATTTTGGTTTCATATTGACGGTGCCTTCGGCGGAGCCCATATCCGGTTTCTTGAAATGGCAATAGATCAAAATTTGGTTCGTAATATGTTTCCAAATGGTTTTCCCGTGTTTGACTTCCGTATTCCCGAAGTGAAATCAATTGCAATGAGTCTACACAAGTGGTTTGGCTGTCCTGTTCCTGCCGCAGTATTTATGATGAGAAAGAAGGATCAAGTGAGACCTCTTGACAAACCTTTGTATATTGGTGGTCTCGATAGCACTCTGTCTGGATCTAGGGGCGGACACAGTGTATTATTCATGTGGGATCTGCTTTCAAAGAAATCTTACGATGATTTTAAAGAAATGGCCGTAGACGGAGTGCAAATGGTGGCTTTTTCACTGGAAATGTTACAAGAGCTCCAAGAGGAACTTTCCTTGGACTTGTGGGTGTCACACACACCCGGTTCATTGTTTGTTTATTTCAGACAGCCAAGGGCAGATATCGTGCGCCGTTATTCTTTGGGTTCGAAACCGCTGAAAGTAAAAACTGTGGATGGTACGTTTGAAGAAAGGATCTATTCCCATATTTGTCTCATGCCACATGTAACCAAGAATTTAGTTCTGCTGTTCATCGAAGAATTACGAGGAGTTGGAGCATGGGAATGCTTTCACTAAATGTTGGGAAATAGACATATTATGTAATTAATCATGAATTAGTTTTCAGTATGTATCAGTCCATAACAATGCAGGGGGAAAATCCATTAGATAAATCTTGAAAACAATATGGCGATCTTTCAGGCGTCGATATAACAATCTGATTAATGACTGAAAACAACGAGCCGTAATACATTGTCAGAATCATTATATATTTTGGGATCCTTACTAATGCTCAGGGTGTGATATAGTTAATGATCATATTCACTAATTGTCTCGTGCATACTAGTTAACTATATTGTTTAATTTATTTTCCTCACATGGTGGGTACAATTTTATTCGCTTCACTTCAAATAGTGATTTATGATTGTGAGATATTGAGCGGATTTGAGATGTCATTTTAAAACATCAAATTCGGACTGAGTTATATATAGGCAGCCCAACAGCTAGGCGTGTTAAATATTTGACAAAAATGGTATAATATAGTGAAAATGTATAGATATATTCTTTGACATGCATGTACAACACTTTTGGGTCCGTTTGGGATCGTAAAGGTGGTTGATGTTGAAGCATGTTGATTCATGCAGGTTGGGCGTACAATGATTTAAACCGGGCTTGCCATGCACGTTTTTCCCTCACGCAATGCTCGCTTACTTGTGCGAAACTCACATGATTCTTTCAGCACTCACTCTGCATGTTGCACTGCAAAACATTCCTGAGTATTTTGACTCAAAAACTTGAGTAACATGCTCTCTCCTTCGCAGAGCCTCCTTAAGTATTTACAAATAACTTACATGAAGTTTCCTGAATAAAAGTGAGCGCGCGCGGTGTGATGGGAAGATTGAAATGAAGTTGGGGAGGCTCTGCCAGATAACGCGACGAAGTATGGTTTTTGAACCAAACTAGTTGTTTGACCTTTTTTTAAACTTGAAATCAACGGAAATGTGAAAGAAACTGAAATGAATCTTCATAATCTGAGTATCGAAGTTCAATAGAGTCATTTCTATAAAGAAATGTTGCAATTAAAAGGATATTTATAATCAGATAGCTCGTATCCATTGATATTCGTTTGCAATTTATATTTTTTTATACAAATGGCAGAAGAAGATATTGATATTGAATTCACCCCAGGATACTCAAGTACGCCTGAAAATGAAAGTCCAAAACATGTTTTAACACCCCGATGGTTGATAGAACTTCGCTACAAACGATTATATACGACGCCATATTGATTGCATTAACTCGCAGAGGCTTCCTTTATTTAGCTCTTCCCATCACTCCTCGCGCGCTCACTTTTCCCTCACCAGAAACTTCATGTAAGCCTCTGCGGAGGAGAGAGAGTACATGGGCTACATCTACACTTGTTCCGGATACTTTTCCATAGCAACATGAAAAAACACGTATCCGTTGGAACTCTATTTTCATACGAATTATTGCAACGGGGAGATGTTGTTTCGCATAGTTGAGTACATTTGAGTCCAATTTTACTCATAATTTTGAGTCACTATATGAGTGCATTACTCTCTCTTCCGCAGAGGCTTACATGAAATTTCTGGTGAAGGAAAAGTGAGCGCGTAAGGAGTGATGGGAAGAGCTAAATAAAGGGAACCTTTGCGAGTTAATGCCGATCAATATGGCGTCGTATATAATCATTTGTAGCGAAGTTCGATCAACCATCGGGGGTGTTAAAACATGTTTTCGACTTTCATTTTCAGACGTACTTGAGTATTCTGGGATGAATTCAATATCAATATCTTCTGTCCATTTGCATCGAAAAATATTGAGAAATTGCAAGCGAATATCAATGGATACGAGCTATCTGATTATAAATATCCTCTTAATTTCAACATCTCTTTATAAAAATGACTCTATTGAACTTTGATACTCAGATTATGAAGATTCATTTCAATTTCTTTCACATTTCCGTCGATTTCAAGTTTAAAGAAAAGTCAAACAACTAGTTTGGTTCAAAAACCATACTTCGTCGCATTAAATTATGGAATAGAATACCAGAAAATATCCAAAATTAAATATCTTACAACTCGTTTTGTAAAAACCTTTTCTCCTCGCCCTCAGCCTCCCAATTATTAAATTAAGTAGTTTATTTAAGTGAATATTTAATAGATTTATATAATAATAGTTTGTATGTATTAGTAAATTAGTTTTAAAATTGTAACAATTAGCCAGCACACCTCTCATGGAAATCAGCTTAGTGTTCAATGGGACTAGTATGCTTAAATAAAGTTTATCTATCTATCTATCTATCTATCTATCTATCTATCTATCTATCTCTCTATCTATCTATCTATCTATCTATCTATCTATCTATCTATCTATCTATCTATCTATCTATCTATCTATCTATCTATCTATCTATCTATCTATCTCTCTATCTCTCTATCTATCTATCTATCTATCTATCCATCTATCTATCTATCTATCTATCTATCTATCTATCTATCTATCTATCTATTTATCTATTATCTGGCAGAGCCTCCCCAACTTCATTATCTGCAGAGCCTCCCCAACTTCATTTCAATCTTCCCATCACACCGCGCGCGCTCACTTTTATTCAGGAAACTTCATGTAAGTTATTTGTAAATACTTAAGGAGGCTCTGCGGAAGAGAGAGAGCGGCATTATTCTACCCAAGTTTCTGATTTTCAATTTTTTTCCAGTGGTGTTGAAAAGGTCTCTCATGCACTTTTAGCTGTTGTATGTACTTTCACGGGAGTATCCCAAGATCCGTGTCGTCCTAATAATATAAACTGTACGCTGTTTGAAAGCTGCGGATTGATATAGGGATACAACTTTAAATTGAATGCAAGCAGAACTTCGACGTTTCGAGGGAAGGCCTTCCGTCGGCGATTCGAAGGCCCTTATGCAAGTTGGCCTGATGCAGGTCTTATCGTTTGCATGAGTTGCATCCTGGTTCATGCGCATTTTGCCGAATGTGCATGTGAGGCACACCGCTCTCGCATGTACTTATAAACTGGGGGATCTTTCATTATGCAGTTTTTAATTCGCTTAGCCAGGTAACTCGCCTCCACATAAAAGCCTAAGAATTCGGCAGTGCATGTGTGTGGGTGTTGGGGGGCATCTACTAAAAGGGACCATACTATACTGAGTGTGGAAAGATGACAGACGTTGGTGCCAAAAAGTAAATTTGGTGTGGTGTCGTATGTAAAAGTAGGGGGTCTAAAATGTTTGTATTTTTCCACCCATAGTACTACATTTCGTGCATTTTCTGAAAATAAATAGAGGATATTCCACGGTGGCGCGAAGATACGATTTTGATTTCGAGTGGTGAAAACAATATTTTACGAACAAGCGCAGCGAGTGAGTAAAATTTGTTTTTAACACGAGAAGATAAAAGCCATATCTTCAAGCCACCGTGCATGTAATGTTCTGTTTATTATATAGTCCCAAGCACAAAATTGTATAAATACTAAAATCACGTAATCACCTGATGCAATGGAAAATATCTCACTGTGTATTTTTCAGTATCTCACTCTCTACTATATAATAAAACGCGCTACATTATATTGTAGATAGACTGAATGTTCAGTTAAGTACTTGCATGCTATGTTTATGAATTATGTAAATACTACAACTCTGTCTCCAACTTGTTTAGCCTAGCCTTCCAACAACAATGCAAAAAACTATAGGGTCTGGGATTTGAAATTTTTAACTTGAAATCGGGGCCCGGTTGTATAAAACTCTTAATCGATATCACTTTTTTAATCACTATTTTGTAGTTAAATAGTGCATGATTTTCAAGATTTTCAAAAAAAAATTTAAAAAGTTTTAAAAAAGTTTTAAAAAAGTTTAAAAAAGCTAAAAAAGTTAGATTTTCAAAAAAGTTTAAAAGTTAGATTAGAGTTAGGGTAAGGGGTTAGTGGTTCGTGGTTAGGGGCTAGTGGTTAGGGTTGGAGTTAGTGTTAGGGGTTAGGTTCCGCGAATTTATTATTATAATCAATTCAATATGTGCCGCGAATTTATCATAATGATAAATTCGGACGTGTTTAAGAATTTACTCATATAGTAAATTCAAAGGTGGAGCTGATGCTGGCGATTTCAGCACGAATCGCACTCCTAGCAGTGCAATTCGTGCTGAAATCGCACCTTCTTTCAACCAATCACACTAGAGTGCTGGCCTCAGCCAACCAATCATATTTAATCATAGGATTCAAACAGCCATTCAATTTTAAGAAAAATGTGATATGGCAATTGAGCAAAAACAACAAATTTACATATGTCATGATTCAAACAGGATTCAAACAGGATTCAAACAGCCATTCAATTTTAAGAAAAATGTGATATGGCAAATGAGCAAAAACAAAAAATTTACATATGTCATGATTCAAACAGGATTCAAACAGGATTCAAACAGGATTCAAACAGGATTCAAACAGCCATTCAATTTTAAGAAAAATGTGATATGCCAAATGGGCAAAAACAAAAAATTTACATATGTTATGATTCGCTCTTGAGTGCCTAATTAAGCAATTTTTTGCACATAAAAACAAAAAGATATGGATAGCTACAGTAAACTATCAAAGAATTGCAAAGAATTTTAAACCTCACTATCGCTCGGTCAATACAGCAAGACCTCGGTTGGATATTTTCCCGTACTGCCCTAACTCTCGGTCCGTAAGTTATAAATACTCCGTTGAAAATTAGCGTATATTCACTAACATAACCAATCAGATCTTGGATTTTGACGGAAGAACATGGCCGATAAATAAATATAAGTCCGCTTTCGTCCTTAGACGCTGGTCAACTAATATAAGTTTTATAACAGACCTTATGCATAATGACGTCACAAGGCGTGGTAAGCCCGGGGAATTCTGGTCTTAGTAGTCTCGCGGAAAAACAATCCAAAATGGCTACTGTCGTAGCCATAGCCTCGTAGGTGAGTGTGTTGCTGTCCTTTGTCGTCTTTTAGAGCTGTTCAAGGCAATGCCAATGAACTCCACAGGCATAGTCCTTTTCAGAACTTTTGCACGGCCTGATCGATAT